AGTGGTGTTTTTTGTTGATACAGGGTCTTGCTATGCAGCTTAGATTCGTAGTGATCCTCCTGTCTCAGCCTCCCCAGCTGTAGGATTGCAGGTGTGCACTACCACATCAGGTTTCAGGGCCAGCACAGCATGCCTGGGGTTCCAGGGCCTTGGGGGCAGGCACAACGCTTTGTACGGGGGATCAAACTCAAGCTCCTGTTACTGCCGGGTTAGGCGCTTAGACTGCTGAGCTATCTCCCCAGCCCATAGTGCTGTTTTTTAAAGAACTTGACAGAACTGATAAATACTGAACATGAACTAAGTTGATAAATTTGTAGGAATTTGCTTGTTTTCTGAAAAGAACCAGGTTCACATTCAGCTTCTTCAGCATTGCTCATGAAGGCCTTAATTATCCAGGGCATACCTCCCTCTCTCCTTGATTCTGCCCATCCCTCCACTAACTCACCACATAGCCCTGTTATTCCGCCGGATTCCTGCGTCAGAAGGGTTATGTTTGAGTTGCCATATTGTTCTCTTACCAACAAGACCCAGTGAATTTTTGAAGAGTCCAAGCCAATTATTTTTTAATTTTTAAATTTTATTTATTTATTCAGTACAGCATCTACAGGGTCTCACTACAAAGACTGAACTTGTAGTGATTCTTGTGCTTTTTAGTCCCCCACGCACTGCGATTACAGACGTGTGCCACCACACCCAGTCCCAATCAGGGTCTGAGTGCAACCCAGGGGCGGGGCTGGCATGGCAAGGCATGCTGGGGATTGAACCCCAGTCCCTGCATCTGCCTAAGCAGGTGCTTTAATCTGCTGAGCTATCTGGCCGACTCTTCAAATTTTATATATACTACCTATACACCCAGCAAAGGTCAAACACTTTTGGCAAAGATATTTTGCAGTTGATCCTAAAGTCTCTCTTAGAGCCACAGATGTCCCACCACATTGTTGTTATATACACAATAATAACTCAGGGATCTTCCTAACTAGAGTCCCAGCCCTTTTAAAATTTTTATTTTGAGACAGTGATGCTAAGTCAAAAAGTTTTCTAGGGTTCGCGTGAGCTTGTAGTCCTGCTCCAGCCTCCCAGAGAGCTGGTTTACAGGTGTGTACTACCACACACAGCTGCCCCCTCCCGACTGCCTTAATTGAATGACCTGGAAGCTACCTGAGTGATTAGTAAAGCACACCTGGGGTGTGTCTGGCTGGGTCCTGCAGTGGGCCCTCCGCTACTGTTACGGCCCCAGCTTCGTGCTCTCTGACACTGTTCCCCAGCCTGCTTTCCAGCCACCAGGAACTGAGCAGATTTGCCCTGCAGTTCCTTCCACCATGAGGCTCTGCACTGGAGCTAACTGGCCTTAGCCTGGATCCACTAAACCTGGGAGCCAAGCTAAGCTTTTCCTCCTTTAAATTGTGTGTGCTGGGACTGGGGAGGTGGCTCGGTGGTCTAAGCACCTATACCTGGCAAGTACAAGGACCTGGGTTTGATCCCCAATACCACGTGCCATGGTGACCCCCAAACCGGATGTGGTTGCCTATGCCTGTAATCCCACCGCTGTAGAGGCTGAGACAGGAAGATCACTGAGTCTGAACTGGGGGGCGAGATCCTGTACCAAATAAATTTTAAATTGTGCATGTTGGGTATTACAGCTCAGCAACGAGGAATCTATTATAAGTGGAAAAACTTTTACAGCTTTTAATATGTTTTCCAGTTTCTTTCTCTGCTATTAGATGGTCATTTTCCTAAGAAAAATGCCTATTTTACCTTCACAATGTCAACAGGGAGCTCTGGCATTAAAATACTAGGTGGAAGGCCCTTTTGCATTTTATGAGCAGCTCATCAGTGCTGGGAGTGTGGATCAATGCTATACGTGTGGAAATCAGCACCCCTCCCCGTCAGCTCCTTTTCCCTTGTCTCCCAGCTCCTCCTGTACTGAAGCTTCAACCTGGGACCTTCCCACTGGGCTACATCCTCAGCCATTTATTAATTTAGGGATAGATCTTGCTAAGTTACTAAATCGCCAAGGTCAGTCACTTTTGTGATCCTGTCTGCCTTATATTCCCAAGACTAGGATTACAGGCATGTGCCATCCATCCTGTTTGTTGTTGTTTTTCTTTAAGCCCTGACAATTGAACTCCCGGGATGATTGAACCCCAGGCCTTTGTACTGAACTATTTAATGAGGTTTTTGTTTTTTGCTATTTTTTCTTTTGGTACCAGGGATTGACCTTGTGTTTGCCAGGCAGGCACGTGAGCCACTGAGCTACCTCCCCAGTCCCGCGATTTTTGTATTTTGAGACAGGCTCTTGGTAGGTTGCTAAATTCTCGGGTTAGGCTTGAATTGGTGCTCTAGCCCTCACTCAACTAGAGTGCTGGATTACAGGCATTAATTGCTTGTTCTGGGTTTGTTTCCATTAAAAACAAAAACTAGTGGCATCTTTTCAAGGTGAAAGGTTGATTTTCTATTTAAAAAAGTGACAGTTACTGATCGTGTTAACTTGAGTGAAAACCATCCAACTAAACTGACGCAGCACAGTTCTGGGTGGGGAAGACCCATTCTAGGGAGGATTGTCCCAGAATGCTATAAAAGGGGACAGGGAAGATTATTCCAGTCCCTCTGGAGACGCTAGTCCTCGCCTTCTCCTTGGGCGTTGTCTTCAGTCTGCA